GGCCGTTCTTCCGCGCCTGCCGCAGGGACCTCTTGACCTTCTTCACCCGCTCCCGGAGCTGCTTGTTGCGCTTCTCCAGGGTGGCCACTTTCTGCTGCAGCTTCTTCACGTGGTCCTCCTCCTCGAACAGGGCCTTCTGCACCGAGGAGCACATGAGCTGGGGACAGAACAGCGTGGCAGGGAGAGGCAGGTGAGTCTCAGAGCGCAGCAGACACTGACAGCCCCAGCCCAGGACGAAGACAAACCTCCTGCTGTCCTCAACCGCGCCTGACCTTGGCCTCCACCCCGTGACTCCCGCCCTGACCTCCAACGTGGATTCCTTGGGAGATTTTGTTTTAAAAAGATATTGTAAAAGATTTGTCATTCGGAGCAAAAAGGAAAGAGCTCCTGTGAATCGGTCAGTAAAAGACCAAAACCCAAAAAGGAAAAATGCACAAAGAATATGGTTAAGTCACTGGAAAGGAAAGATATCTATTAAATATATGAAAACATGCTTGACCCCACTCATGATAAGATAAAAGCAAATGAAAGCCGTAGCGAATTACCATTTTTCACATACTAGACTGGCGAAATCAAAAAGGCAGCATTTGGGGAAACAGGCCTTTCATATACTGTGTGCCGAGTGTACACTTCTGTAAGGAGCAATTTGGCTCTATACTTCAAAATGAATACTGTGTACATCCTTTGAACTGGTAGAAATACTCTCACATGGGCAGACTGCCACGTGCACGATATTATCACAATATTATTTGTTATACTAAGAGATTGGAAACCATTTAAAAATGCCCATCAGGAGAGGTGTGGTTCTGGGCTGGCCAGTTGCTCAGTGGATTAGAGCGTGGTGTTGATAACGCCAAGTTCCAGGGTTGGATCCCTGTACCAACCAGCCACCACATTTTTAAAAAAAAAGGTCTGGCTCAATAAATTATCGTAAATCCATACAATGGAAAGTTTTGCTGTCCTTAAAGGAACAAGGCAGCTGCACATGAATGGCACTATCTAAGTTTTTAGCAATATCTAAGTTTTGGTGTTAATATGAAAAAGCAAGATGCAGAACGGTGTGCATAGATACATGGTATCCATGCGTGCGTGTCTATGCTTGAAGATGAGCACTCTGTGTCCGGGAGAATATGCAAGAACCTGGTAAG